CGTCAACCTTCAAGAAGATGGTGTACAAGGTTGGGATGCAAAAGCTCAGGGATGTGAATTGATGCTCTCATTAGGGGGAGTTAATATGCGTTGCACTATTTTTTTCTTACAAGGTTTTGTCCCACTCGATTTTCCTTGCAAGGTTTTTAACGAGGCAACCAAAAGGCGTATTATTAAACATGTGTATTCTTTTTCCTTTACTAGAATTTTTTTCCCGCTGGATTTTATTTTAGTTAAGGTTTTAACGAGGCACATTACCTATTGAGTAGACATTCAAGGGGGAGTGTTATGAATAGAATTGTACTTAGAGTGAATATCTATCTTTTATAGAGTTTGTTACTTTGTTACTAAGTTATTTCCCTCTATAAATAGAGGGGCTTTACCCCATTGTAAATCATCTGAAATTCAATAAGAATTACCTCTCGCTTTTCCTTGCAATATTATTCTTTCCCTTATTATTTTATTTCATATCTCAATTTGTAATATACCAACTATAGGGAAAATGTGTCAAGAAACCGCCTCTCCCTGTGATAATATCTGCATTCCCTTTTTTGTTGTGACATTTAATGCTCAATGGTTCATGATCAATATTGAAATTGATTGAAGCGATAAAACATATTAAGTTAAGTTTAAAATATATTAAAATACATTGATAATGTAAAAAAAAAAAATAACATATTTGTATATATAACTTAAATAACAGTATCATATTTTACAACAATAACAAACCTAGTGTAATCCCACAAGTAAAGTCTAGGGAGGATAGTGTGTACGTAGACCTAACCCATGCCTTGTAAAGGTAGAGAGGCTGTTGAACCATCGGCTCAAGGAAAAATGAAAAAGGAAGCAGTAACAACAGTAAGATAAGATAATGAGGGAACCGAAACAAAAGAACTAACAGGTAGTAATAAAGCTCTAAGTATAAGAAAAAAAACGAGAATAATACTAATAATACATTAATAGAAAAGAGATACACTCAACTACATTAACCTTCAACCTTAATTCATGACTTCCACACCCTTCTATCAAGGATCATGTCCTTTGTAAGCTGAAGTTGCGACATGTCTTGCCTAATCACCTCTCCCCAATACTTCTTAGGCATATCTCTACCTCTCCTAAGGCCCACCATAGACAACCTCTCGCATCTCCTTATTGGGCTTCTGCTCATCTCTCCTCTTCACATGCCCGTATCATTTTAGCCTCACTTCTCGCATTTTGTCTATCACATTGGCCACTCATACCTTATCCCAAATATCTTTATTACTAATTTTATCCCTCCTGGTATGCTAGCACATCCATCTCAGCATACTTATTATGCTACTTTTATTTTCTAGACATGGGAGTTCTTGACTAATCAGCATTTCGTCCAATACAATAGAGTCGGTCTGACCACAACTTTGTAAAACTTACCTTAAAGTCTTAGTGATACATTCTTGTCACACAGAACACTGGATGCAAACCTCCATTTCTTCCAATCCCTC